ATTCAAGTGTCATGTAAATAAAATGATTAGTAAAATACTAAAATTTAAAATTTAGGAAAAATATAAAAATATGAAAATAAAAAAGAACTATAAATTTCCAACAAAAATCAAAAAAGAATGTAAGATTAATCTTCTTGTATTAATCTAGAAGAAAAAAAAATATTGAAGTTTGTTGAGGTTATATCATATATTTTTTAATACATATATTCAAAATTCAATTATTGAATCGTTGTAGCCATCAAAACTCTATAACCGCTGTCAAAAACAAATCCTTAATCCCATTGAAAAAATTTAAGAAAAATATAGAAGAAAAAAAATAAACTCTAAAATCCCAACAAAAGTCAAGAATAATACTTAATTTAGTATTCTCATAGTAAACCTGAAAATGATCTTAATGAATAATAAAGTTTATAAAATGAAAGCACAAATCAATTGATAAATACAGAAAATAAAAGATTTCTTGAAAAAATAAACTGTTGAAGAAAAAGGGTTTGAAAAGTGAATAATACATCAAGTGATAGGGATGAAGAATAATACCTAAATTAGTATTACGGTAGTAAACCTGAATTTTCATCTATAAATTTTAAATATTAAATTCATTAGTATAATGTTGTTTTGGTAATTTTAAAAAGCTTAACTTTCAACATTTCATTCTCATTCTTGGATAAAACAACCTTATCCTGATGAATTTCATATTTTAAATATAGGGATGGAAAAGTCTTTTACATATACCAAATATTTTAAAAAATCAAAAATCTAAGGAAAAAAATGATTTTCTAATGTTTAGAGGATAACACATCATTATGTTTGATTTCTTTTTTAAGAATTAAAAATATTAGAAAATAATTTTCAAGCTCAATGCTAAAAAAGAAAAAAATCACAATAGACCGATCAACATCAAGAAAAACCCGTATCATATTTGTTTTCTTGAATGATGCCTCAAATCAATAAAAAAAAATACAAATCACATCCACAAAAATTGAATAAAGAAGAAGAATTGAGAGATTAAGAGAGATATTATGCTTAAACAATGTTAAACTGTTTCTTCAATGATTCATATGTCACTTTATCCACACACAAAAAATCCATTTGCCTACATAATTCCAACTATGATGTGAATATCTTCGACTAAAAAAGAAATATTATACTTACATAAACAAAAACTCATATCATGATTTGTTTTATTGAATGACACCTCAAATAAACAAAAATGCAAATCGCATCAACAAATTTATAACTGAATAGAGAAAAAAATTGAGAGATTAATAGAGAGATTATCATAGAAGTGTACCACAAAATTATACATGAATAGAGAGGAAGAATTGAGATATTAATAGAGAGATTATTATAGAGGTGTACCACAAAATTATATATGAATAGAGAGGAAGCATTGAGTGATTAATATAGAGATTATTATAGAGGTGTACTATGAAGAGAAGATGAAAATTTATAACCAAATAGAGAGGAAGAATTGAGTAATTAATATAAAGATTATTATAGAGGTGTACTGATAACTCTCATTTTGTTAGAGTTATTTGTTGTTCTATACCCCTATTTTATTGTATTTTTGGTACCCATTTTGCTCATATTCTATATTTTTGGTCCAAAATATGTTAAGAGGTGATGAAAGGTTAAGAATTTAATTATTGTCTAAAAAAACTCTTTATTGTTGGTAAATTTGGCATCTWGTTGGATTTGAACAAAATTATGATATTCATATTCTTTGATATTATTGGAAGTTAATGGTAAGTTCAAATCCAATTACTTGGTTGCATGGAAGATTGAACCTAGTTATGGGATGATGAGACTTTGATGAGTTCATTTTGTACCATGATGTAATGGCTTTTCCATCACATTTATTGGTTGTACCTTCACCTTTTGCAACCTATCAAAAGGAGGTGACTTGATCAAGATTGAAGAAGACATGTGGTGATGGGTGGTCATTACCCATTGGACAAAGTGTTTGGGTCCCACCTTTCCCCCTATATATTTGAGGCATCTCCAATCCATCTCAACAACTACTTTTCCAACACCAACTTTTCCACCAGCACCTTGGAGCATCTTCTTTAAAGCTTTGTAGTAGCAGAACTAGTTTATATTCAGTTTGTAATTTAAATTTCGTAATTTACCTGTTATTCTCGCCACTGCATTGTGTGCCCTCTGTGGGCACCAGTAAGTATTTAATTTCAGTTCAAGTATTTCTTATGCAGCTTTCTTCTTCTATTTCTGTTATGTTTTCTAATTTCATTATGAGCTAAGCACCCCTTGGGTGTGGGTGTGAGTCAAGCTTAAGGATTTAAGGGCACACTTGRGTGTTGCCATTTTTATTGATTCTTAAGCTTGGTCATTTAAGTCGGGACGTAAACTCAACGCGGATAAGCCGATCACTT